AATCCACAATCACCTAACTTGATACCAGCAGTCAAGAAATTAAAAGATGAGTTGCATTTTGAAGAGCTGCTTCTAGGGTCTTCTTCAGAGTACTAAGGACCAGTGATTTCAGCTTAAAGTCCAAGATGCTCCTAATCAGTGGCATGGTCTTCTGAAATGCTTGCTATGCATTTGAAAATTGAACAATAATTAAGGATGAAAAGAAGAATCAATGTCTTTAAGTTGAGATGTTGGAGAAGAGTACTAACGATGCCATGGATTGCCAAGAGAATGGTTTGTCATGAAGAAAATAAATCCACAGTGCTTTTTGGAAGCAAGGAATGTGAAACTTTGTCTTACCTACTTGGAGCGTATTGTCAGGAGAGACAAGTCCTTGGAAAAAGGCAACATGTTGAAGAGGTAGAGGTCAGCATTAGAGAACAATTTCTTCAACAAGATGTATTTACACTATGTAACAAGAGGTTCAAGTTTTTAATATGATGAGGATGACAAAGTTTTTGATACATTGTTCAGAGGGTCACAATGAGTCAGTTGACTTGATGGAAGATAACAATAACAACATGTATATATAAGCAAAATTCATCATAGCTGGTACAATAGACAATATGGTAAGTGGAGTGGAGAAAACATCTAAATTTTAAAGACTTTTCTTTTACTTGGATATACAATGAATGCTCATGGCAGTAGCAGCAGTCAAAAAATAAAGATGATATGCATGAGACAAATTTGCGGTTGAGAACCTCTTTAAAGTGCTTAAGAACAAGGGTGTCAAGTTTAGAGTCTAAGACATACCTGACTAAAGCCATCCCATTTATAATTGCTTCATACGAATGTGAATTCTGGACAATGAATAAAGACCAAAGAAGTATTGACAACTGTGAATTGTGGTGTTGGCAAAGAGTATTAAATTTACCATGGACTGACATAATAAAAAACAAATCTATCTTGGAAGAAATAAACCCAGAGTGCTCTTGGGAAGAAAAACTTTGTGTGACTTCAGCTCACATACTATGAGCATGTTGTCATGAGATGTCAGTCCTTGGAAAAAGACATCATGTTTGGAAAGATGGAAAGTTAGAAAAAGAGAGGAAGACCCCCAGTATGAGGGATTGACACAGTGGCTGCAACAACAGGCAGAGATTGTGAGTTGATACAGCACTGGACATGTTTTGATCTTTTGTACTTTGGACTCCTATTAGACACAGTGTACTCGACAGTGCTTCACAATGAAATGAAGTGGAACATATGAAAGGTCTGTAAGGTTTTGTAAACTTCAAGGCCTTATTCAAACAGCATCTAGTATCTGTATTATATTTACATGGTTATGAAATATCAACTATATATTCAACATTCTTCCTTTTCCACTCATTATTTACTTTAATAGCAGTAGATTCCTATTTATAAATTCTTTCTCTCATTTTAATCAGTTTTACTTATCAAATTAGAATAGTATGTTATCTAATCACTAGAAACATGTATGTTTGGTAGAAGAACAGTAAAAATGAGAGACTCTTAATGAAATGGTTTTACATGATAGCCACATCAGTGGGATCTTTGAGATGGTCAGTGCAATGCTTCTTTCTGTTATACATGTT